ACTTGGGTGCACAAGTGCGTGCTCTCTCGCTCTCTCTCTCTCAAAATAAATAAACTTTAAAAAATTGGATTAGTTGATTTTTTGCTATTGAGTTGTACAAGTTTCTTATATATATATACACGTTGGTGCTTCACCCCTTATCTCACCCCTTATCTCAAGTATTTTCTCCTACTCCTTAGGCTATATTCTCGTTTTATTAATTGTTTCTTTGGTTGTGCAGAAACTTTTATATTTGATGAAGTCCCATGGTACTCTATATAGAAAACCCAAAAGACTCCACAAAAAAATTGTTAGAACTGATACATGAATTCAGTAAAGGTGCAGTATACAAAATCGACATGCAGAAATCTGTTGTATTTCTAAACACCAATAATGAAGCAGCAGAAAGAGAAATTAAGGGGGCACCTGGGTGGCTCAGTTGGTTAAGCATCTGACTTCAGCTCAGGCCATGATCTCACAGTTTGTGAGTTCGGGCCCCATGCCAGACTCTGTGCTGACAGCTCAGAGCCTGGAGCCTGCTTCAGATTCTGTCTCCCTCTTTCTCTGCCCCTCCCCCACTTGCGTTCTGTTTCTCTCTCTCAAAAATAAACATTAAAAAATGTTTTAATTAAAAAAAAGAAATAGAAATTAAGGGATTATTTACAATTACACCAAGAACAATAAGATACCTAGGAATAAGCCTAACCAAAGATCTGAAAAACCTATACTCTGAAAACCATAAAGTACTGATAAAAGAAAATGAAAAGTACACAAAGAAATGGAAAGATTTTCCATACTCATGGATCAGAAGAACAAATACTGTTAAAATGTCTATACTACCCAAAGCAATCTACACATTTAATGTAATCCTTATCAAATTACCAGCAGCATTTTTCACAGATGTAGAACAAACAATTCTAAAATTTGTATGGAACCACAAAGACCATGAATAGCCAAAACAATCCTAAAAAAGAAATGCAAAGCTGGTGGCATCACAATTTTGGACTTCAAGTTTACTACAAAGCTGTACCTGTAGTGTATGTAGTAGCATAAAAAGAGACACAAAGATAAATAGAACAGAATAGAAAGCCCAGAAATGTACCTACAACTATATGGTCAATCTTCGACAAAGCAGAAAAGAATATCCAATGGAAAAAAGACAGTCTCTTCAACCAAAGTGTTGGGAAAACTGGATAGCATAATGTAAAAGGATGAAACTGGACCATTTTCTTACACCATACACAAAAATGGATTAAAGACCTAAATGTGAGACAGGAAACCATAAAAACCCTAGTGGAGAAAACAAGCAGTAGTAACCTCTTTGACACTGGCCACAGCAACTTTTTTCCAGATATGTCTCCTGAGGCAAGGGAAACAAAAGCAAAAATAAACTATCGGGACTTGATCAAAATAAAAAACTTATGCACAGTGAAGTAAACAATCAACAAAACTATAAGGCAATCTACCGAATGGGAGAAGATATTAGCAAATGACATATCCCACAAATGGTTAGTGTCCAAAATCTATAAGGAATTGATACATGTCAACACCCATAAAACAAATAATCCAACTGGAAAAGGGCAGAAGACATGAATAGACATTTTTCCAAAGAAGACACACAGATGGCCAATGAACACATGAAAAGATGCTCAACTATCACTCACCATCAGGGAAATACAGATCAAAACCACAGTGAGATACCACCTCACACCAGTCAGAATGGTTAAAATTAATAACACAGAAAAACAGATGTCGGTGAGGATGCAGAGAAAGAGGAACCCTTTTATACTTTGGTGGGAATGCAAACTGGTGCAGCCACTGGAGAACAGTATGGAGGTTCCTCAAAAAATTAAAAATATAACTACCCTAACATCCAGCAATTGCACTACTAGATATTTACCCAAAGAATACAAAAACCCTAATTCAAAGGGATACATGCACCCCAATGTTTATTGCAATATTATCTATAATAGCCAAATTATGGAAAGAGCCCAAGTGTCCAAGAACTGAGGAATGGATAAAGAAGAAGTGGTTTTTATACAATGGAATGTTAGCCATAAAAAAGAATGAAATCTTGCCATTTGCAATGATGTGGATGGAGCTAGAACCTATTATGCTAATAAGCAAAATAAATCAGTCAGAGAAGAACAATATCATATGATTTCACCCACATGTGGAATTTAAGAAACAAAACAAATGACCGTAAAGAAAAAAAAACGGAGAGGCAAACCAAGAAACAGAATCTTAACTATAGAGGAACAAAGTTATGGTTACCAGAGGGGAGTTGGGGGGTGGGGGATGGGTGAAATAGGTGATGGGGATTAGGAGTGTACTTGTGATGAGCACCAGGTGTTGTATGTAAGTGTTGAATCACTATATTGTACACCTGAAGCTAATATTACACTGTGTGTTAACTAACTGGAATATGAATATTATAAAAATTCATTGACTGTAAATGCTTGATTTAGTTTTGTGCTCTTGATTCTGTTCCATTGGTCTACATGTGTGTTTTAATTACAATAACTTTGTAATATAATTTGAAGACATGAAATGTAATGCCTCCAACTTGCTTTTTCTTTCTAAAGATTGCTTTGGCTATTCAGGGTCTTTTGTGGTTCCAAATTTTAGGTTGTTTTTTTTTTCTACTTCTGTGAAAAACACTATTGGAATTTTGATAACAATTTCATTAAATCTTTGTATCACCCTGGGTAGTATAGACATTTTAACAATATTAATTCTTCTGATCCGTGAACATGGGATATCTTTGCATTTTTGTGTCTTTGATTTCTCTTATAAATATTTTATAGTTTTCAATGTATAGATCTTTGGCCTCCTTGCTTAAATTTATTTCTTTAAATTTTTTTTTTCCAACGTTTATTTATTTTTGGGACAGAGAGAGACAGAGCATGAACGGGCGAGGGGCAGAGAGAGAGGGAGACACAGAATCGGAAACAGGCTCCAGGCTCTGAGCCATCAGCCCAGAGCCCGACGCGGGGCTCGAACCCACGGACCGCGAGATCGTGACTTGGCTGAAGTCGGACGCTTAACCGACTGCGCCACCCAGGCGCCCCGATTAAATTTATTTCTAAGTAATGATTTTGGTGGTATTACAAATAGAATTGTTTTGTTGATTTCCTTCCTTTTCAAATAGATCATTTTTGGTATAATGAATTATAATTTTTCTTACATGTTTTTTTGTATCCTGCAAATTTACTGAAGCCATTTATTAGTTCTAATAGTTTATTAATGGAGTATTTAGGGTTTTCTACATATAAAATCATATCGCTTGCAAACAGATAATTTAATTTATTCCTTTTAGATAGGATGCCATTATTAAAAAAAAAAGTCTGGTTGCTCTTCTAGTACTTCCAGTGTGAAAGTGAACATCCTTGCCTTGTACTGGAAAAGTAAAGAGACAAAACGATCAGTTTTTTCCCACTGATAATGATGTTGGTTGTGGAATTTTCATAAATGGTCTTTATCTATGTTGAGGAAATTTCCTCTATACCTATTTTCTTGAGAATTTTTATCATTAATGGATGTTGAACTTTGTCAACTACTTTTTCTGCATCTAATGTGGTTATTGTGTGGTTTTTATCTTTATTCTGTTAATGTGGTCTTTCACATTGATTTCATATGTTAAACCAACAGGTTGGTAAGTTTTGATTGGATGCAAGGCAGTGAATTGTACCTGTTGGGTATTGGGTTTTTTGTTTGTTTGGTGTGTGTGAGTGTGTGTGTGCATGTGCGTGTGTTTGTTTTTGTTGTTGTTGCTGTCTTACTGAGATTTAATCTGGGATGCAGTTATTTGGAAATTTTTAAGGTTTGTCAGGCAGGGCTGGAACAGTGCTTAAATATAGGGCTAATTATTCCCCTCTACTGGGGAAACACTCTGCTCTGTAGTCTCCTTAATGTCCCACAAATAACAATTTTTTGTTTTGTTTTGTTTTTTAACTTTTTGGAACAGACATTTTTCCGAGCCCTGTGTGAGTACTGGACATCTCTAATCCTTTCAAGTAATTCTATACCTAACCTCAAGTATTTCCCTACTACATATGTGCTGATTAACATTCAGCTGAATACTTGAACTGGAGATCTCTGGAATTTTCTCTATGCAGCTATCTTTTCCAGTACTCTGTTCACTGAATTATAGCCACCTCAACCTTTCTAGACTCTCAATTTCATCTTCTTAACTCAGGGAGTCTACCAAGCTCAGCCTGGGTTCCCCCTTTCTGTGCCACAGCCTGTAAACTATTTCAACGCAATAATCTGAAGCAATCATTGGCTTACTTCTGTTTCCCATCTCTTAGGGATCATGATCCTTTGTTTCCTGATGTCCAATGTCTTGAAAACCTGTGTTTCATGTATTATATCCATTTTTTTTTTTACAGTTTTAAGTAGAAGGTAAATCCAGTCCTAGTACCTGCTACTCCATCTTAGCCAGAAGTAGAAGTCTCAAGAAACTTCTCAAACGTTAATTGGTCTATAAGTTTCCCAAAGTTTTGCCTATCCTTACACAGGTAAATATCCTTTTCTCTATATACCAGCCCACTTCAAATAACTTCTGCTGTGCCTGGGTGGCTCAGCCTGTTAAGCTTCCAACTTTGGCTGAGGTAATGATATCACAGTTCATAAGTTCAAGCCCTGCCCCTTGGTACCCTTGTCTCTCTACCCTTTCCCTGCATGCACTCTCTCTCTCTCTCAAAAATAAACAAATATTAAAAAAATTACTTCTGGAGAAACTAATCCCTTATATATGTATAACACATTATAACACATTATAGCTAAAAACATAATTTCACATACTGAGATAACATGGTTTTCTCTGGGGGAAAAAAAATGACCGGTGTCATGCTAATAAGAAATCCATTTTAATGTGAAAAAGAAATCCATCTTAATGTGAAAACTCATAGAAAAGTTTTCTTGAGTCAACCTTTTTGGATAGATCCAAATCTCTACATGTAACAACAACAATCTCATCCAGGGCTTTAAAACAAGCATTTTATTTTGAATTTACTCACTGTGGTGGGCACTGGTACTGCTTGTCTCCACCAGGTTGATATCATACTGGACTGAACTGGCCCTCTGAAGGTGGCCCTTCCTGACAGTAAAGAAGAAACACACAAATAAAAAGCAGGTAAGTGGAAAAGCAGAGGGAAGTTTAAACTTGAAAATTTGGAGGTCTATTTTCTTCTCCAGAACTACCTGAAACTGACAGGGCTGCCCTAAAACTGTGCCCCATTATTCAACAAATCCACCAAGTCAGGGAGTTCATTATGGGGACTTCAGATGCTGATGATGCACTTAGTTCTTTTCCTTTGAAGTTGGAAAGCTATTATTAATGTAATGTTTTTGTAATGTTTTAATGTTTAGTGTAATGTTTTTGCCCTTTTAAAAGAGGTTTTCATTATTAGCCGAGACATTTGTGATATGGAGTGGCTTTACTCACTATTAATGACATTGAAAACCTCATTTTGTGCCTTTTTAAGGTTGTAGTTCATCCATCTTTTAGGTCATCTGGCCAATTAATATGGGTTATAATTGTATTCAGATGATCATGACAGTTTTTTTTAACTACTTTTAATATTAAACAAGATTTTGAAATGTACACTTGCTCTAATTTTTTTCAGTGTCAGTGCTTAGAGTATATATTAGTGAAAATGAATTCAAAACCATTTTACCACAGCAAAATGAAATGTGTCTTCTAAAAAACCCTGATTCCTCCTCATGAAACATTACTGATTCTAGGCTAGATTTCAGCATTAGTGAGGTATCATTTTTGACCTCATTCAAAGATCACACTAATTAGTTACTAAATTTCAAAAGACCCACATTTAAAGCAATTTCAACCACTAATGGACCCAAAAACTATTTTAGTAAACAGACTTGGTTTCATTCTTGAAAGCACCACTCTGACAAATACATTTCATTTGGTCAATACATATGAGCCCAAATCATAAGTGTAGCTTCTATAAGCAATAGCTACTCATTTTCAAATTAATTCTATTCTTGGCATCGTTAAGGCCATGACTCTGCTTATGTTCTCATTCAAAAATGGGAAATACACAATTTCAAACATATTGCAACCCTATCTGAAAAATTTTCAAGAATGCTATTTTCTTTAAGAATGGTAAGGATGTGGGGTGCCTGGATGGCTGAGTCGGTTAAGCATCCGATTTTGGCTCAGGTCATGATCTCACGTTCTATGGGTTCAAGCTCCGCATCAGGATCTGTGCTGACAGCTTGGAGCCTGGGGCCTGCTTCAGATTCTGTGTGTGTGTCTCTCTCTCTGCCCCTCCCCAGCTTGCTCTCTCTCTCTCTCTGTCTCTATCTCTCTCAAAAGTAAATAAACATTTAAAAAAAGATTTTTCTCTTTTAATATACAAACTAGATAAAATACATTAGTTAATAACTTTATACCAACTTTGTGTTCTTATAGTAATGGAATAATTCCAAGATCATAGTTTTTAAATACATTACTGAACTTGGTTTGCTAATTTTTAATCTTTTATATCTAGGTTAAATGAATAAGATTGGCTCATAATTTTCCTTTTTTTTTTTTTTTTTTTTTAAGTAGGCTTTGTGCCCAGTGCAGAGCCCAATGTGGGGCTTAAATTCACTACCTTGAGATCGAGACCTGAGCTAAGATCAAGAGGCAAATGTTTAATCAACTGAGGCACCCACGCATCCCTTGGCTCATAATTTTTTTGTTCATACTGTGATGGTTAATTTTAGGTATCAACCTGGCTGGGCCATGGTGCCCAGATATTTGGTCAAACATTATTCTGGATGTTTCTATAAGAGTGTTTTTTTTTAATTAATTTTTAAATCTATGTATTTTGAGTAAAGCAGATTGCCTTCCATGACGGGGGTGGGCTTCATCTAATCAGTCTAAGGCCTTAAAAAGAACAAAGACTGACCTCTTTTGAGTAAGAAGAAATTGTGTCAGCAGATAGCCTTCAGAGCTGAACTGCAACACTCACTATTCTCTGAGTCTCCTGTCTGCCAGGCCACCATGAAGACTATTGACATGCCAGCCTCCACAACTTAATGAGCCAATTCCTTAAAATAAATCTATCTCTCTGCACATTCTATTGGTTCTATTTGTATGGAGAATGCTAACTAACACACATACTAGCCATTACAGGTTACACTCTATCTCCCAGAATTCACAAATTGAAGCACTTATTCCTGATGTAACTATGTTTGGAGATAGAGCTTTTAGGGAGGTAATTAAGGTTAAATAGGGTTAGAACAGCATGTGGGAATGAGAGATATTGTAGCTATCTTTGGGAAAATACAATCTGATACAATGGGTTTCTATTGAATTTTTTTTATCTGAAGTAAAACATGAGATTGCTTAAATGATATATTTTAGAATAAAATATGTAATTATATGTTTTAAAAGAGCAGTCTCTCTCCAACTTTTAATTACTCTATGGCATAAAGTAATTCAGAAAGGAGGATTTTATGAAATATAATTTTACATATATATAAAACCTTTCCTAGAATATAAACTTCTTAAGCCCTTTTGCATCTCTTTTATTATTACCCGCAGCTCCATTTTCACAAGTATTACGAGAACATAGTATTAAAAGTATTTCACAAGTATTACAGTGTGCACTTAATAAATAGTAGTAATGAGAGTTATAATACCAGATAACTCCTAAACTTATAAATTCTATATTTATTATTTTCATAAAATTCCAGAAAAAGGTGAAGACCAAAACTAATAATTGAAAGTAATCTCCACCACATTTTATTGCTTCATATGAGTAATTTTTCCTTTTGTCTTATGAGTTACAAGTCTTCCCAAATTAATTGCCTCCTTATTTGTCTCTCTCCAAGTTGATTTAAGTCTCTACAATTAGGGAACATGTCTGTCTTGTTCACTATTGTATTCTTTTTTTTTAAATATAATGTATTGTCAAGTTAGCTAACATACAGTGTATACAGTGTGCTCTTGGCTTTGGAAGTAGATTCCCCACTATTGTATTCTTTATTCTTAGCACAATGCCTAGCACATAGTAGGCACTAAATGAAGAAATAATCCTAGATATTAACCACAGGCCTTAAATTCATATTTACAATGTTGCATAAGTTGTTTCCTTCCTTTCACATTCAAAATGTACTTTAAATAGACCTAGTATTTAGGTGCTTTGGCATGATGACTTTAGTGAATGTGGGTCTACCTAATTAGTTTACAGAAATCAACGCTTGATGTCAGTAACAAAGAACAAATAGAGACTATTTAAGATACTTTCAAAATGACTTATTAATTTAATAACAACTGTATTAGAGAACTTTAAATAGAAATCACTATCTGTAAAAATATCTAGATCCAAAGGGCATATTAGTTATTTAGTAGAAAAACTACTTTATGCATTACTTTTTTCTTTTCAAAAGTATGTTTCTATTTTGGTTACCTGAAAAGGAAGTAGAGGGCTCCAATGATAAGAGTTCCTAGAAGAATAGTCAATGACACAAAAGCTGCAAACAGGTCACTTTTAGTTTGGATGCTGGAGCTTGGGAGAAAAACCTCTTCACAACGAGCTCCTGTATAATTTTCAGTGCATCTACAGAATAAAATTTTAGGTAAAGAACTGCATTCTCTGTTCCATTAACTAATATAGAAAACAAAAGGTTTTCAGCTGGTATGAAGAGTAAAGAAGACTAATTTTTCAGGTTGTGAATATAAAGTAGGCATGCTTTCCTATAATGTTCACAGAGCTACAGTTATAATAAAACACATTAGCATATGCAATCTAATCTTTCTAATCTTCCTTTTCTGGTTTCTCAGTGCTTAGAAACTCCAGAGAAATTAAAACATATTAAGTCCTCTTATCTTCTAGATTTTCAATAATGTAATTATCTACACTTAACTTAAATTTATCTGAGATTTATTTTGTTACATCCAGTATAGATGCGGGTTTAAATGTACTTTTCTACAATATTGCTAACTGCTTATTCTCACCCTACTTATTAAATAATCATTCCCTTACCTACTGCTTAACAGGGCCTCTGTTAACATGTCAAATCTATATAAAGAACATTTCTTTCTACCATGTTCTACACATCTAATGTTCTACTACACTGCTTCAACATGGTTGCTTTATAATATGTTTTAATATCTGGTAGCTCTATTTCCTATAATTTCCTTTTCTAGAATATTTTTTATATTTTCACTTGCCAACCAAACATTTTATGGCAAATTTTATTTTTTTATGTAGGCTCTATACTGAATGTGGGGCTTAAACTCACAACCCTGAGATCAAGAGTCACACGCTCTACCAACTAAACCAGCCAGGTACTTCTGCCAACCAAATATTTTAAAGGCGATTACTTTCAGCTCCTTAAAACTATACGGCAAAGGACTATAATCTTTCATATTATAAATCAGTTCCTTTTACCCTATTAATATGTTCAAAGAATTATAAAACACAGAGATTGAGGGGCGCCTGTGTGGCTCAGTCCACTCAGCATCTGACTTCAGCTCAGGTCATGATCTCACTGTTCATGGGTTCAAGCCTTGCATCGGACTCTGTGCTGACAGCTCAGAGCCTGGAGCCTGCTTCAGATTCTGTGTCTCCCTCTCTCTTTGCCCTTCCCCTACTCTCCTCTATCTCTCTTTCAAAAATAAGTAATAAAAACATTTAAAAAATTTTTTTAACTTTAAAAAAAACACAGAGATTGATATGGATTAATAAGAATGACATTGTTTGGCACCAAATCAATTTCATTATTTTGTAGTTGCAGTTAAAATAAATAACGGTATACATTGTTTAATAAACCTAAGAAGTTATAGAGTAAATTTCACTTAGCAATAATTCAGTGTAAAAAAATATATGTGTATGAGTGTATGTATGCATGGACATGTACATGTATAAAAAAGTGTGTATATGTGTACATTAAAAATGTGTGTGTGTGTGTGTGTGTGTGTATTTTTCTTCTTTAAGCTGGTATTACCAAAACTAGAAATGTTGATCTATCTCCTTTCTCCCACCTTAGTGAACCAATTACTAACAAAGTTTTGATAACTAATGTGATACACTAATACACATAGATATAAGAAAAGATCAAGATATAGTACAAGATATATCAATCTTACTTAAATGAGATATCTTACTTAAATATGAAAGATGGTTTATTAATCCCAAACCCTACCCACTGTGAGGCAGTAGCATTATTGGTTATAGAGTATCAGTTTGAGCAAAAAAGCAGTCTCAATTCTCTCAAACTACTGTAAAGATGGAGCTGAGACACAGGAAAAAAAGGTAAGGAAATAACATGAGTGGAAAACTGAAGTGGCAATAAAATTATTTGGGGAAAACACAATTATCTAATAAAATAGAAAATACTTCTTTTTCCATAGACTGAGTCAAATAAATAAGTGTGAAGAGAAAAAAAATTAATGAAAATAACTTCTTTCTCCTATAACTCCACATCCCACTCCTCAAAGGGGAATAAATAGACACACACACACACACACACACTACCTGGAATGTCAACATAGCAACTGTCATAAAAACTGATACATATATCATCACAAAATAACCAAAGGAAAGGGGCATTCCACACAGTAAAAAAACAAAAACAAAAACTAGGTTCTAAATTTAGTTGGCCAAAGTATCTCTAAAATGACCAAAAAAAAAAAAAAAAAAAAGAGGAAAAACTCCTCTAGCTTCTTTAATTTTTAAAATTAGAATTCTAAATTTAGAATTAGAAGATAAATAACAATTATTTGTGACTTCTGAAGGTTTTTAAGGAAAAGGCTTAGCTACTGAAAGAAGTTGGTGTCATAGCTTTATTTATTTATTTATTTATTTTTTAATTTTTTTTTCAACGTTTTTATTTATTTTTGGGACAGAGAGAGACAGAGCATGAACGGGGGAGGGGCAGAGAGAGAGGGAGACACAGAATCGGAAACAGGCTCCAGGCTCTGAGCCATCAGCCCAGAGCCCGATGCAGGGCTCGAACTCACGGACCGCGAGATCGTGACCTGGCTGAAGTCGGACGCTTAACCGACTGCGCCACCCAGGCGCCCCTATTTATTTATTTTTTTAATGAAATTTATTGTCAAATTGGTTTCCATACAACACCCAGTGCTCATCCCAAAAGGTGTCCTCCTCAATACCCATCACCCACTCTCCCCTCCCTCCCACCCAGTGTCGTAGCTTTAAAATAAGTTTAGAAATAATGTGCAAATGGGGCTCAGTTTCTACTCTAGAAAAGATAATTAGAACCCTAAAGAAATAAATCCAGAAATGAGACAGCATAATTCTTCTTCATAAGTAGGATTTCTTAAAAGCCTATAAATTCATTACTCAAATTTCTTAATGCTGCTCAAGGTTAGGTAAGATTGAACTTGAAGGAAGATGACAAACTAGGTGATGGAACTAACTAAAAATGTTTTACCTGGACGATAAAAACTTTGAGTTGAAAGGAGTCGGGGAATGGTATAATAGACATTGAGCGGTCAGATCAGGTGATAAACAAACAAAAAGGAATATAAAGGAAATCAACACTAGAGTGTTGTTCTGTGGTCTTACAGCAGGGTAAAGCAAACACATACGCTTGTGGGAAAGTAAAAACATGTTGCTATCTTTAAATAAAGCAAGGTCAAGAAAAAAAATCCTGTTATTTTTTAACTAGTCAAATTAGAATTTAGAGAAAGGCAAAGAGAAATTTAAATACTATGTTGAAGAAGTAGGAATGATTAACCTAAAAATTAATTTTAAATTTTTAGATATTTATCATACAAAAAAGTAAACACAGCTTACCAATGAGTGTGTATATGGATTATGATTTTCTTTTTAAGATTTTTTAGTTTTTTAAGTAATCTCTGCACCCAACATAGAGATCAAACTCCTGACCTCAAGATCAAGAGCTGCATGCTCTACCAACTGAGCCAACTGAACCAGCAAGGCACACCTGGATTCCACTTTTAAAGCTCAAGCTCATTTATGAAAATGTTACAACCTCAGTTACAACATAAAAGTGAAATTTCAGGCAGACAGTTAACCAATTATTTTATGGGTAAAGAGGGTGAATTAAGAAGATCTAGCCAGACAACTGGTAGTACTAGTTGAAGCAAGACAGAAAGGTAAGATATTGCACCAGCATTTTACACAGAACTGGGTACACAGAACTAAGTAGCCTTCAGTCTTTATGCAACTATATTGCTAAATTATTTCTGGATCTCATTTCTGCACAGACCACCAAGTAGCAAACAGTTGTGACATCTAGTGTCTACCTAGTGAGGGAGATCATGTACATTCTCCTGGAACTGAAAGATGAAACCTGGAATAGATATAACTCCCAAGCCCCAAATCCGGTCATGATTTGGTTTTCTGGCTGAATACCGCCAATAATCTTTCCCTAAAACCAGAGGCTATGTATGGTACATTGCACATGAAATAAATTCATTAGATTATACAGCACTTAAAGTACGTTGTTACACATTAGAGACCTTTACCATAATAAAAGAACCAAGTTTTTAATCATGTAAACAAATATAGTGCATTTAGCTTCAAGAAAGAGTATTCAACTATGAGCTAGAAAAAACTAATTTCTTGAACCCACACTTGTGCTTGTTGGCTGTGTGACCTTGTACAAGTCACTTAAACTCTCTTAAGACTCCGTAAAATCAAAATAACAACACTTGCTTTAGCTATTTCATAGGGCTATTGTCAGAATCAAACAATGTCTAAAAGTGCTTTGAATGTTGAAACACACTATACAAATGGAACTGAAATTAGTGACTTTATAAAGACCATGTTTACATCTCATATTGGACTATAGGGAATATAATGCCTAAGAAAAATTATAGCCAGAAAAGGTTAAGAGCATGACAACCAATAAATGCTACTGTTTATTATTAGTAGTAGTAGTAAATATTTCTCAGAAACAAGTTTGTATTATAGAATAGCTCACTAACCAAGTGGAGACTCAATGTCAATATCACTTTACTTGGAATAATCTATTCTGGAAAGCAAAAGTACAATATTGGCACACGCCAAAATTGAATTACATTGACGAATACTCTGTAGCATAATAAAAGTTCAACCTGAAATCCATGAAAAATAGTTAAAACAAAACAAAATAAAACTATTAGAGTGTTCAAGAAATATGAACTGACAACATGAGCTTGAACCCCTTTAGTAGTCCAGGACATAAAATAATACACAAACACGCCAACATCCTATGAAACTCCTACTGGAATTTTGGAAGCAAGAACTCAATTAGGGAAGACTAATTCATGACCTTTTCCTCTTTTATTAACTAGTGCCATAAAGGTAACTTCATTAAGTATTTACTAGATTCTTAACACTACAGATACTTAGCTAATTAATATTCAATCCTGCAAAAATTTTGTTTAATGTTATATTTATATGATTACTAGCACCACAAAAAACAAATAATTACTACACTTCATATGTGTAAGTATAATCTAACCTTAGTTAAAAGCAAAATCTATTAGACTCTTTCAAGATTGACTGTTAACCAGATAATTCATATGCTGAAATGGACTACCAATTAAATCTGAATATAAATGGATAAAACATTGCATAAAGAA